CTTAGTTGGATAAAGTGTGGATTGAAATGGGATGCATGGTAGTTCAGTTCACCAAATTTGAGAGAGCCGAGAGAAAAAAAATTCTCCGAAGAGATCACATGGTCATCAGTTTTTATTGAAATTCAAGCATGCTTCAGTGAAAGGAAAGAATTTACTGAAGTTGAACCACATAATTGTGATTGTTGCAACTTTTATATTTTCTCATCATTAATAAATTGTTGATAGCTTTATCAGCAGAGTTTGTTCCATCTGCTAGAAATTCTCTGCTTTTCAGGTAGGTCAGCTGAATTAAGAAATTTGCAAAGATCAAGACATCACCTGGACCAAGAAAAACCACAGCTTGTTCGAGTAAATGCCAAGACATGCTACATAATTCATCTCAGCAGGTACACAACATAAAAGATTCCACTAGACAACACAAACTGGTGTAGGAGAATGGTGAAAATAGCCACACCCAATTCATACATCCTTCACTGAACTGTAATAGCTGGTACTGTGAGTACTGGCTAAAGTTTACATTCAGCATACAGTGATAGGAATAGCCGATTATATTCTATATCATAACAGCAGGAAGTGCTAAGCAAAAGAGATATATTACAGCTAGATACACAGCATACATTACAATCATAGTTATGGTTTAAACCCCATCCCCTCCATTTTTGTTATTACATAACAGCTTCACTAATCCCATGGTGGAATGTTTAGGAATACTACTCTGTTCCATTCAGCAAGCAGACAATCTGTACAGCAGTCCATTTTCTGGAGTTGTCATCTTCCGACCTTCAATGCTTCCCAGATTTCCTCCTGTTAGGGGGCCCACACACCCAGCTACTTCAGTCACTTTAAGGCAAAGAAAATGAACCAAATATGTGTCAAACTGAGGCAAATTTAGACTGAGACTTCTGAAAGTTTTTCATCAACTACTGCCTTTAATTATCTTAATTGGGAAGAGTATTTATTTACATTGTTCAGACTGTTGTCCTCATCTTAATTACCATATTCACATTTCAACTGTTGTACTTCAGGTGATTTGAATTTCAAACTGAACCCTAGATGTGAAAGGTTGGTTTTAATCTAAAAATTATATTGTGGGATTAGATGAGAGTCCTCTATTTGTCAGAGCTTCTGCCGAGTACCCTGGGTAATTGATAGGGTACCACTTATACTGACCATCTCTTGTTCATATGTCTCTGGATTGCCACTTATGACTTTTGCTTGATGTAGTAAGCCGTGGATAATCCCCCCAACTTTCTTTTAAAAACACTGTATAGGTGGTGGGAGTTGAAGTTGAGGTATTGTCCGGTGAATGTTGGCTTACAGTTTATGGATATCTTGAACTCATGCTCTGTTTGAGATATTAGTACATTCAGGAATACGAGTTCGTTGTTGCTGTTGTTTTCTCTCTCCATTATGAACTGTATCTTATTGACTTCACATGGACCTCTCCCTGGCATGGCCAGAATAGGAAGGTGTCATCTACATATCGCAGCCATAGTGATGTGCATTCTAATGTCATTTCTTCAAAGATTACTTGTTCAAATTAATCATTTGCATCTTCAGAAGCAATTCATAATAGAGGACTCCCATCCAATCCCACAATATCACTCTTAGATGAAAACCAACCTTTCACATCTATTTTTTTTTTATTGCTTGTTATAATTTGCTTCAAAAGCAAAACATTTTCCTACATTTAAGTCTCCATTCACATAAGAAATACAGTCTAATAGGGTTTTCATTTATGTTAAAGTCTCACACCAAAGCAACTAACATAACCAAATTGGTAGAAATGATTTTCAGTGCTCAATTTGAATATTTTGAGTAGGTTGACTACTTCCAGTGTTGATTATTCAATCATACTACAGAAATGTATCTCTCCAAGAAATAATCATATTTTCAAATGTTCTTTTCATATTAAATAAAGGAAATAATTCTGTGACTGTAGTGAATTAGAAGTATCAATTTTTACCATTTTTTTGTAGCACTTCTTTTGGTTTAATAAATTTTAAAATCAGAATAATTAAAAATGACATCATCAGGTAAAATTAAAATATATGGTATTAAATAGGAAAGAAAATAACCAAAACTAAGTGCAATAAATTAAACTTAAAAGTAACATTAATTTTTAATTAAATTCTTTCCAAGTAAAATTATCCATTCAATTAAGTTTCATAAAAGCCTATGAAATGAAACTAAGTATCTTCTTAAAGTTATTTTTTTAACATAAACAATACCAATTTCTATAGGTACCTCCATGAGAACTAGTAAAATAACATAAATTTTCAGCACGTTTTTTTTTTTTTTTTTGTATGACAGCCATTAATTTGGAAAATCTTTCAAAAATAAAAATAATTGTCGGATGTTGATGAAACATTCAGAAACTATTCACAAATGATGGAAATTATTATAAATATGTTTTCTTTTTTTAAAGTCATGGAAAAAAATTATTTTTTTATATTTATTACCCCTCCTCATAACTAATTTTATGAAAACTAGAAATTCAGTCACATTCAGTTGTGATTATATTAGTTAAAAGCACAAGGCTTTGAGGAAAGCAAAGCATGTTTTTTTTTTTTTTGATTGGACCCCACTCTACCTGAAAATCAGCTCTGAATTGTAACATACAAAACTCAATAAAACAAAGATATTATTTAATTTCAAATGCTTTTATTTGCTTTTAGTTGTTTTTATGAATATGGACAATATTTTCTGAAAGCAAAAAATTTTTTCGATGAAAAATGAATTTTTAATACAACTATTTGTTACTTCTTTAATTATAATAGATTTTTACATTTAAGTTGTTAAAAAATTATAAAATTAGTTAAAAGCCACATCCACTTTCATAAATGTCCTTATGAGATAGATCTTTTTTTAGCGCATTGTAAATTGTATCGTTTTGACTAATTAAAGCAGTAATTAAGAAATGTAATTTTGTGTTTATAATCGGGTTGTAATTATGAAGTACGGAAGATCAACCAGAATACAATTAAGTTATTTGAGTTAAGCATTGTTCTCTGCTGTTAAGGCCTTTACTTTTGCGAAACACATGTGGAGAATTTAATTTGATTTTTCAATTTCAACCGAGAAGGATACCTACAAGTATCAGTATCATCTTATGAAATTTATATGATCTTATTTTTATATTAATCTCAGTTATGACATTTTTCCATAAATGAAATATCAAAATTAATAATAAAATGAATGGAAATACAAATAACACAGTAAAATGTAATAAATGTACATAAAATTATAGTATTTTATGTACTCTTCTGATAAAATTGCATAAGAAAAGTACCTATAAATTAGATACCTTTCTTATGAAATTTAATCTCACTCTCAAGTGTCTTATTTTAATTTCTTTATAATATATTTTCCATGAAGCATTGTAAATGTAAAGGTGAAAGCTAAGTACAAAAAAAAAATTAGTGCACTGAAAGTTTTCCTTAAAAATAACGAGGTAAATAATTTGTTCACTTAAATCTAAATAATTTCACTTCCCTCCTTCCGTAGAATAAATTATTCTCACATAATCTGTCAATATGTCATTCAAGTGACGCAAAATGTTATGACCTGCTTATTTTTATTTTCAAACTACACCTTTTCAGAGCAGAAACTAAATAATGCTTGTTTCAAAATATTTTAAATAAACATTATAATTCCTGATTTTCTTAAAATAAGTTTTGAAAAAGAATTATAATTGATTTTTAAAAGAATTTCAAACTGAGATTATTTTTTTTTATAAAATGGAAAAAAATGATTGACATGATTGATTATCTGTCAGTTTTGCTGACTCAAAAAAAAAAAAAAAATTTTTTTAACGAAAATTTCAGACGTGCTAGGAACAATTAAAAAATGTAGAAAAATATCCCAAAAATACTTTCATCTTTATAATAATAACATAAACTTTAACATAAACATTTAGACGATAAAATTTTGTTTTCGTCAAGTTTGGCGTCTTTTTCATCATGGTCTTTTTTAGCGATCTCATGGAGGTATCTAAATTTCTAAATTGTAACATTTTTGGTCCTCCATACATACTAAATTTTAAAAATAAATTTTTTTAGTGAAAATTTTATTCTTTTAATCATAATTTGGGATTTTTTTTTTTTTTTTTTTTTTTTTTTGGGTAAATCAGTATATTCAGATTCAAGTAACTATTATTTTGCATAAAATTCTCTTTGTTTATTTTTGTTTACATTTTACTTTTACAAAGTTTTTTCTTTTCTTTTTTAGTTTTCTGGTGGTCATTATGTGATTTTTGCAGATTCAAGGGAAAATTTTAACTTCGTAGCAGAATTCAGATTAAGTGTTTTCTTTGCAAGACAGAAATTTGGACTTTTATGTTGTGAGGAAGTGAGGAAAATTGTAAGAACTCACTTAATTTTTTAAATAATAATACAATACAAGATATAACATTTTCGTTGGATACACAATTTTTACTAGACGTCGGAGATCGTTAGCTACACCAATTAAAAAATTCAATAACCATTAAAGACGAAAAACTACAAGTTTTCATTGGACCGTAGATGTAAGTTTAAATTATTTCCGAAATAATCAGTATTCTTAAGAAAATCTCAAGTTTAAGGTCTGCATTTTAAGATTACTCTTCTTAGAAGAATTTTATTTGGATTAAGTTTTTTTTTTATTATTATTCAGTCTTCTTAAGCGTGGAACCAAAATCCTCTCTAATTTCACTTTCATAATTCTACCTTACTTTTGTAGTCCTCTACAATGAACTAGTCTACACATTCTGATTCAATCATTAGAATAACTTCTCGAAAATTAATAAATCGTATCAGTTTTATTTTTGAATTTGAATGAAAATATATTTTTATTGTTAATATTTTCACAATTTGTGCTACTGTTCGACTTTTTAAGTTTAAGGTCATAAAATAAGAGGGGATTTAAACTACTTATTCTATTTATCAATTATTCTTCCTATAAAAAAAAAATTAACAAAAAACATAAGCGTCAAATAAACATGCGCAATTAAGAAATTTTACCTGGCCAAAGCAATGCGTGACGCAAGAAGTGGATAAAGCATGTCCTGAATGTCCCCCAGAGTTTTCTACTAATAATAAACCACTATTTCTTCCTTCATACATTCAGCACGTGACTTCCGCTTCAAATTCTCAGTCGAGAAAGAAAAGAAAATGAATTATGGATTTTTTTTTTTTCAAAATATTTAATTTAACTGAATGTAAATGAAATTAACTAAAATAGTTTCTTTAAAATGAATAATTTAATGACCGTACTGAATATTAGTTCCGGAGTTACTATTTGTTAACTTGGTATAAAAAAAACAAAAACAAAAGATTAAGATAAGCAAGCTGAATTTTTTTGTGCTTTTTAGTTTTATGCATTTTTCCGATGTAGTTTTTTTTTTTTGTTGTTCTTTATGAAACAATAATAGTTTCCCATTGGGATTCTGTTTCTCGAAAGTTAACGAACGTTGTGGTGAAAGTGATTGAAGTGGCTTTCTAAAATTAGATTTAATTCTTCAAAGTCCAAGACTTTAACTTTTTGTCCGCGTGTGTGTGTGTATTTTACGAAAATTAAAAATGTCATCATAGTTACCATTTAAAAAAATTTAGTATCCTGATTTGCATTGAAACTACTTGTATTTCTTTAAAAAAAAGTAATAAACATTCGGTAAAAAAGTAAAGACAAACCAATTCAATTATGGTGAAGATAAGCATAGTTGTCTCCCCCTCGAACTACTCTACTATTTAAAAAAACAAAAAAAAACGTGGTGGTCGAATAGCTTAGAATAAAGCTTTAGTTTACAATCATAAAGGTCCATCTGTTTTCTTTACAGTTTCCTTTCATTTAGTACGTTGAAATGTCAATTCCTTCGGTCTTATCGATCTGCCACCCATTTTGTTATTACCGCTCCCTTTCTCCTTATTACGCCCTTGATCTTGAGGGTGATGCCCTAAAAGAAGCTTGGGGTCCGAGTCCCTGTATTTAGTGTATTTTCTGTATTCTTCCTCTGAGACGTTTTATTTTAAAGATTATCAAGTTTAATGCAATAATGACGATAAAAAAATTTCTTGTTTTTTTTTTTTTTTTTGGCCAAAATAAACGATTCGGATAGATCATAAGTCAACTCAATCAACAGAACTTATTGAATTTTCTATTTCATTTAGAAAAATACTCATTTTTTTAGTACTAATTAAATTATTTTTTATTATTAAAAAATTAAATAAAAATAATTTTTCTATCCGAATTTCTGAGATAAGGAAGTTACTGCTCTCTAACTAAAAAATGTTTGTCCTATGTTTTGAAATCAATTCGTAAATTTAAGGTTTGATTCACTATATTTTGTAAACATAAATGCTTTTTTTAAAAAAAAACAGTTAAAATAACATTTATGTACAGTAGCGTGTGAACAACTATAAATTATGGGTTAATTCCTCTTAAAAACCGCGCGATTTTTTTTCCAAAAAGGAATTTAAAAAAATACGGAACACCAGCAGTGCAATAATCAAGAAATTGGTATTTATGCTTAAAATAATTTATCTGTAACCTCAACCATTAATTTGAGAATATATATTTTTTTATTCTATACAATTTTATGAGGCTTAGTAGAATGAATAATTTTATTTTTTACATGTAGTAGTTTTTTAGTTAACTGATACTTTTGAGTTTAATACATTGCTTTTATTTTTTATTATTTTCTTATCTTTTTGATGTCATAAAATATCTAATTGCATCCAATGTGTATTTTTAATTATTCTGAATTTAAGACTAAGAGTTATTGAATTATCATGAATCATTATTCCTCCGATAGCTAAAATTAGTCAAACGGTAATTTAGAATTATTTCCTTTTTGAACATCCATACCAAAAATAATCTAACAGTTGCTAAAATGAAAAAAAATTAAAATTCTTTTTAAAAAAGTTCACACTCGAAAATATCTTCAAACATATCTTTATTTAATAATAAAAAAAACTCTTCTAACAGCAACAAGAACAAGATGAATCTCAAAATCGTGCTGAAGAATTATTTTTTGTAAAAAATAATCAGTAAAAGTGTAGTTTTTTCTGTCCAATCCCAAAGAAAATAATGTGCTTTATTATTGCATAATTTAATAAAAACGCTATTTTCTTTCATCATCAACTGTCAGAAAATAAAAATTTGTCTTGAGTTTTACTGAATTATTTTTGGTAAGATGTCATAAATTTTCTGCATGATCACACTTGATGTTGCATGAATTTTACTGAAATAACACCTTGAGGTATTTTTCTTCATATAACTCATAAGTGTAAAAAAAAACAACCCATGAACATCCCCCACCACACCCCCAGATTAAAAAGTACACGAGATCTCGAAATGTGGAATGAAATAGACCCCACGTAAAATAATCCATTCAGTACACAATACATACATTAATGAATATGTACGGAAATCTTTGAATCTGATAATTCCCCGATTTGGGTCAAACATTTTAAAACAGGATCGCAATTTTTTCTTTTATTTTGGAAAAAACACATTTTTGTTTTTGTGGTAAACAAAACAAAGATTTAGGTGGTTCTGCTTTGTAGAATCCACAAATTTCTTTCAAATTACTATGTCTATGGTGTTAATTGGGTTTGGCATTTTGTTCAAATCAATATAGAAATTTGTCATCCATGGTCCTTTATCCTATTCATTTGACTGGAGCCTGATCAGTCAAACAGAATCGTTGAATGAAAACGATGCAAGAATAGAAATGCTTGCTTTTAAATTTGAATAAAAACCATGTTCGTCCAACTGTGGTTTCAGAGTTGATGCTGGTTCCGGCAAAATAGTGAAATATTTGGGAAAAAGTTCCGGAACATTCTTTGCTGCAACTCCACTTAAGAAACAAGCATAATGGATTTTCCTGTGTGACAATTGTGTGGACCTTTGTTTTGGTTTTTTTTTTTTTGATCTTGTTCAACAGTAGTATTAATTTTTACCTTCTGTTTCGACATGACTATGATTTTTTTTTTTTTTTTGTCTAGATACTCATTTTTAATTTTTTCAATCTATTGATGTCTCCATTGGGATTGTTGGTGCCTCAGTCAGGTTGCTACTGTCTCAATTGGGGTTGCCAGAATGTGCCCTTGTTTTTTTTCAAATTTAAGAAAATTAAACTGCCTGTTTAAAAATTCAACTTCCAATGTGTGAAAATTAATTTTGGCCCCTTTTCCATCTCTCTATGCTTTAATAAGTTTTTTTTTTTTTGTATTTTTTTCAATAATTTTTTAAAAAATATGGCTTAACAGGCCATTTGGAAATGTCAAAGAAAAAAAAAAATTAATGTTATAGACAAACGAAATTAATTAGGAGGAAAGGACATTTTATTGGACGAAAAATAGAACACTTTAAATATTATTTTATTTTTCGACCGGAACACGTGTGTCGGGAACAATTCTCGTAGATTTTAAAAAAAAATAAACTGGCCGCAGTTTGAAAAATTTTTCATTTGTAAAATCGAAAGATAATGGTCATTTTTTATGACGGGGCTTTGTCCCGTTCATCCTTTTTGGTTCTCCGCTTCTCTTTGAGTATTTGCCTGTAAATCAGCCAAGATATGTCTTATTTTATTTTATAACAAGGCTCCCCCAGATCTCGGTCTGATTTACAGTGAGCGTTATTCGTGTATATTTGGGTGATTAATTCATGATAAAGTCTCTGAAGCGTGTGGGAAGTTGTCCTCGTGTTCTTCTTATTGGCATTTGTTTTGGTATGGAATTATTTGCTGAATTATGTGTCCCCGAGGGATGTGGAGGAGAATGATCCTGGTGACTGTTACATGGTGGAGGCAGAGGGATTGTATTAGAAAGATGTGTTGGGCGTGGAGCCAGTCGTCGGATATGTGCACGGTGAATCCAGATTGTATCACCATCATCGTTTTGCACCTGACACATCATATTGTTCGTTTTTATAATGGTGTAATTTCCTATCCAGGGCAGATGAGAGGATTGGGCTACAGTTGAGTGTGGCCGATGAAGTAAAACCTTGTCGCCTACTTGTATTGGGTCCTTGTATGTGAGGCGATTTAAGTTAGTCTCAAGTTTGTGGTCGGTTTCATTGTTGGCCAGGGTGACGCGGTGGTGAACCTGCTTTAGCAGGGCATTAATTTGCATTCCATATGCTCCAGGATCGTCGCTTGTGATTTCTTTTCTCTGTAGTGTGGGTAGGCCGATGTTGGGGTGACGGCCGGTAATGGCATAGTGCGGGGAGACACCGGTGGCGCTGTTGGTCGTGGCATTCATAGACGAAACGACAGATTCTAGAACGTCTGTCCATTCACAGTTCCTGTCTTCGCATAACATATAAAGTGCGTTCTTCATCGTGCGATGTTGTCTCTCGATATTTCCTGAGCTTTGCGGGCGCCAAGGACAGTGAAGTTCTTGCGTGATTGACATCTGGTTACAGAATTGTCGATAGACTTCTCCAGTGAAGTGTGTGCCTCGATCAGAGGATACTATGCGTGGAATCTCTCTGTGTCGAAGGAAGAAATGGTACAATCCGCGGGCGGCGTCGATAGCACGGTCTCTCGCGCATGGTATGGCTGTAAAATGTCGGCTGAAGCTATCCAAGATGGTTAGGATGTAGCGTTTTCCCTTTGAGTTGGGCATTGTGACAAAGTCTATAAAGACGAGATCGAATGGTCTCTTTCCTCGTTTACAGTGGCCAATGGGCCAGTGGATACGTCTACCGTAGTTGCCCTTGCACTTAGCACACGTGTCGCAAGAATCGACATAGGCCTTGATGTCGCGGTTTTTGAATTCCCACCAGTAGCTGGAAAGGAGTTCTCGCATACGGGTGACACCTGAGTGGTTGTTGCCCTCGTGTGCCTGGTAGAGGTATCTGGGTCGTAGTTTGTATGGTACAACCAATCTCGGAGAGTGTTTACTGTCTCTTATCATCAAAACGGAGGTGCCTGGTTCTAGAAAAAATTGGTGGAAATGTTTTTTGAAAAGCGTAGCTCGGTGGTCGTCAGGATCGATATGAGGTTCGCTTGGGGTGGGTGACTGGAGGGCGCTGATGATCTTTGCCAGGGCGTCGTCC